AAAAAAAAAAAAGAGGACCAATCCTTCTACTTCAGGTGAAAAAATAAAGCCACGAGGCACCTGCCTACCGGCTGGGACCCAGAACTTCCACTCTAAGAACACCAAAGTATGTTTGTTTCTTTTCCAGAAGATGCTGCCAGGGAGGGCTGTGAACTCCCAGACCCAGCCTTGCACCTGCCAGCCCAGGCCCGCTCCTTCCTGGCCCCGAAAGTCATCCTCCCCAGGGCAACCCAACAGACCATGGCTGAGGGACTGTGGCCACCAAGCCCTGGGAATGCTCCTGCCCTGTCCCCACCACCCCACACTCCAGGCCCCAGAATATACAAGTGCAAGACCCAATCTGAGACCCAAATGGTATGGCAAAGAGGGGGTTGGGAAGGTCAGGATGGAGGGGGAAGGGCTACCAGGTGAACCATAAATTTGATAGGCAGTGGGGGGGGGGGGGGGCTCGGACCAACCCATCCCACAGAGGGACTGCACAGTATTAAGTAAGAGAGGAGATCCCCAAGCTGAGCCCGAGAAGGCCCAACTAGAGTCAAGTAGAAGCAGCTGGGACTCAGCAGGCCAGGAGCTGGGTCACTGTCCCCATCAACCTGGAGCCACTGCAGGCCTCCACAGGCCTCCAGCAGGGAAGAATGCCCTTCTCTGGCCTGTGAGCTCTGAGCACCCAGAAGAGCTAAGCAGGGCAGGTGTCCAACAGCCCCTCTCAAAGTTCCAATATGGGGGAGTAAGGGCTCCCTCAACCCTTCTCCCAGCCTGGCATCAACACGTCTGTTCAACCAGAGACAGTATTGCCCGGGGCCAGGCCACTCACTGCTGGCAACTTCCCAGAGAAGGCCAACTCTAAAAGGCTCCTCTCCCCAAGCACCCAAGAAGGGCCGCGGTGCTGTGGGGAGGGGCAGGGAGACTCCCTGGTGCCCAGCAGAGGGGCGGGCCCTGCCTGCCCACCTGCCCCAGGGGCAGCCACTCTGAGCACTCCCACCCTGCACCTGGATTCTGCCCGGAGGCTTTGGCTTCAGAACAAACGTTACCCGCTCAGGCTGGGGACCAATGGCTGAGCCGGAGCAGCTGCCTGCCTGGCTGGGCCACCCCACCTTGACAGATCGGATCTTATCAGAGTTTCAGGGACAGCCCTACCTGGACATGGGCTCACTCTCCACTGTCTCTACCCCACGGCAAAGATCCTATCTGCAGGATTCTCTCCGGCACCAGGGACATTTCCCATCACCTGCCAGTCTCGCCTTCTCTCCCCAGTGATTGTTATCAGAGGCCAACAGAGAAGGCACCCACGCAAATCCCCAACAGGGCCACCACTGCAGGTCTCACCCAAGGGGGGACAAAGACAGACCAAATACTGGACAGAGCAGAGAAGAGCGGGCAGAGGAGGCATCTGAACAGCCACAGTGCCCAGGCCCTTCAGCCAGAGAAGCAGGCTCTGCCCTCGGACCACTGCCACCCCCTTCCCTCCCAGTCCTCTGCCCACCCGTTGACATGCCAACCTTCTTCCACATGGGACCACCGTACGTGCAGTTACCCACCTACCACACTGTTCCCTCGCATAGTCCCAAGGTTCATGCTACTGCTTCACTCAGGTCTCAGCCCAGAGGGCACCTCCTCCAAGAGGCTATCCCTGACTGCCCTCGCCAAGGGAACCCCGCTGGCCAGCCTCTCACAGCACCCATTGTGGCCGGTTTTATCCCACACATCACTCTGTGATTTTCTTGTTGCTTCCTGTGCCCTTTGTTCCTCAGTCACAGAGACAGAGAATGTCAGCTCCCTGGTGGCTAAGCCTAGTCTGTCTAGTTAACAACCTCTCCATCCCAGCTTCCAGAATGAAGCCAAGCGCACAGTAGGTGGTCAACGCCTGGGGACTGAACGCATAATTCTCTCCAGAATTTGCCCTCTTCCATCTTTCTCCCACCACTCCTGATGCCCACCGGCCCAGATGTGTAAGCGGCCGTCAGATCCCACCTCCTGGGCCCCAGTGTGGACCCTCCTGGCCAGCAGACTGCTGCTGCTGGAGCTCCCCAGGGCCAAGACCCACAGTGTGGCTCAAAGCAGCCCTAGGGGCAAGTGTGCTGCTGACACTGTTTAGGCCTGGCCGGGTGGCAGGCTGGTGGCCCCACCTTGGCTGGGGTTGTTGGGTGAGGTCATGCCCAACCCTACTGCCCTGCCCAGGAGGGAAGGGCAGGGAGGAACCAGTGCCCAGACACACCGAGGGATAAGAGACTAAGTGAGAGGGGACACAGCTCCTGGGACCCATCCTAGGTGGGGACAGGAACAGTCTGCACTGAGCCAGCCCAGCTGCTACCCACAGGACAAAGCCTACCTGAGTTGACACAAGGCTGTGACTGCCCTGGATCTGGGACCCCTAGAACCCCCACTCCCCCATTCAAGTGTCCTGGTAACCCCTGCCCCCACAGCTGTGGACCGGAAGGCTGCCTGGAGCCTCTGCTCTGCCCACACCACCCAGGTGCCCAGCCTCACAGCCCTTTGTAGTAACAGAAAGCTTTGACAGGAACCAGGGCCCTGAGAACCCTGGAGGGGTAGTCAGGTTGACTGGACGGGGGGGCCGGGGAGAAAGGAACAAGAGCAGGAGACAGCTGGCCACGAGTTCCATGTGGTGGAACCCCATTTTCACGTGGGCTGGGCAGTGGGGGCCAGCTCGGGCAGAGAGAGCATGTCTGGGAATCTGGAGTGGACTGTGCGGGAGGCCGGGAGCGGAGGGCAGGGAGGAAGAAAGGGTTGCTCGGCTGGGCTCCTCCCGGGTCGCAGGCCCGGTCAGCGCAGGGGTCTGGGCTTGTGATGGGGCAGGTGTGGGTGCGGCTGAGTCCGGCCTGGGCTTCCGGAGAGAGCCACTGTGGGTGGGGAGAGCTCGGGGATAGTTTCAGTGTCCCTGGGTTGGCTTTCGGGGGCCAGTCTCAGCTCCTTCCTCCCCGCCCCCCCAGCCACGCCCCGTAGAGTAAGGAAGGGCCGACGGATTGGAGACCTCAGGTTCGGGAAGTGACTGAGGGTCCCAGGAATGGGTGTCGCTGAGGGTCTCGCAGGCTAGTCGCAACCGAGAACCTCCCGTCCTCGTGCCCCCGTTTACCTGGGTGCCGTGGCCCGGGCCGGGGGCGCTGGCTGGGCTGGGCCGCGGGGCAGGCTCATGCCCGCGTCACGGCGGCGGCGCCGGGCTCCAGGCGGGGACTGCAAGGGAGG